CACTCTTCGCCGACATTCATGGTTATGAATAGAGCTGAGCGGGAAAGAGGCAAGGTGTGGATGGTTATCGATTATAGGCAATTAAATGATAAAACTACTGATGATGCCTATAAGATACCAAACAAATCAGCTTGTTTGAATCAAGCTAGATTTGGAAAAATCTTTTCAAAATTCGATCTAAAGTCAGGTTTCTGGTAAATCAGAATAGAGGAACAAGCATTCCTTTGACGGCTTTCACTTATCTGAAAGGATTGTTTGAATGGATGGTTCTACCTTTTGGGCTTAAGCAGGCACCATCAATATTCTAGAGGAAAATGGATCAAGTCTTTGGAGACTTATCTAACTTTTGTGTAGTCTATATTGATGATGTTCTGGTTTTTAGTAAGACCAAAGAAGAGCATGTAAATCATCTTAAACTGGTGATTAAAAGGTTCCTTGATAATGGAATGATTCTATCTGAAAGAAAGGTAGAGTGGTTTAAGAATAAGGTGAAGTTCTTAGACGTTGAGATAGGTGAAGGAGGTATTCAACTCCAAGAGCATATCTCGAAGAAGTTGCTGAAATTCCCAGATGTGCTGGAAGATAAGCACATGTTACAGCAATTTCTTGGATTAACCAATTATATGCGCAGGTACGTTTCTACTCTCGCTAATGTAATCAATGGCTTGACGCTTAAGGTTAGTGATAAAGTGCCCTGGGTTTGGACACTTGAGGATACTAACTGTGTTAAGCGGACCAAAGCCTTGACAAAACAATTAAAACATTTAAAACTCCCGCAAGATGAGGATGTGCTTATTATAGAGAGTGATGCGTCCCACTTATACTGGGGAGGTGTGCTTTAGGCTAAGGGTACTGATAATATTGAACAGATTGTTCGATATGGTTCAGGAAAATTCTCTCCTGCTGAGATAAACTATCATGTTCATGAAAAGGAAGTTTTAGCAGCAAAAGAATGTATTGACCGATTTCGATTGTTCATAATCAGTCAGGAATTTACTTTAAGGACAAACTCTAAATATTTAAAAACTTTTATGAAACTGTCTTTAAAGGATGACAAAGCTAGACTAATCAGATGGCAAATTTGGCTTGCAAATTATAGAATCAAATTTGAATATATTTCTGGTAAATCTAACTTGGTTGTTGACTTTTTGTCTAGACATTTCTCTGAAAAATTACAAGATAATAGTGGACAAAAAGGAAACTGGAAATCACTTCTCATGTTCCAAGTTTAAACAACGAGGACACTTGAGAAGGAATTGTCCCTTGAAGATAACTTCGGCTACAAGGGTTATTACTAAAAAGGAGAAAACTGCGGATAAGCAGGTTACTGCAGTAAAGCAAGTTAAAGAAGGAAAGAGTCGAGACTATGACTCTGATACTTCAGAAAGAAGAAACCCAAAATTTCAATGCTTGAAAGGTACTTCTACGAAGGAAGTTACTTCTGAAAATGAGGTTACTTCTAAAAAGGAAAAATAGAAAACTCAGAAGAAAGCAATGGTTTGCTGGTCTTGTAAACAGGAAGGACACGAACATGCTTATTGTCCACTGCCAAAGACAAAAACTTCTGAAGATTCATCATCAGGCGCTGCAAGCGTGGTGATTCCAGACACTCCACAAAAGCGGTTAATTGACGTTGATATTTGTGAGAGGTTTAGCTTTCCATAAGGCTTAAGATTAACTCCGGCTAGTCAAAAACTCTAGGAGGATTTGGAAACCCAAATTAGAATCGCATTGGCGACAGGTCAAGGGGAAGTACAACTGCAGAGGTGTTTAGAGAAGTTAGCAAGAAGGAAAGCTTGGCTAGAGGCTGACAAACTGTTTTATGAAGACGAGGAGTTTAGAGGAACTGCTCTGCTTTATGAAGTAGGAATTCAAAAAACCAAGGTAATGAGAAAATGTCATTTGTTTGACATGATAGATCTCAAACTCGAGAATTTAGATGATCTAATAGTGAAATTAGGAAAAACTGACTTGGTAGATTTGGTCCAAGGATTAGCAGTTTATCCTAATGGCGCTATGGAATTGAACATTCCATGGAAAACCTTTAGAAAAGGTTATTGCAGAAACCTTTTGAATAGAGGATGGATCGATACAATGGAAATTGATGCACAAGAAGCAATGGTGGACCCGAATATGCCAGACGCGGTTAAACAAACGCTTTGTGTATTGAATAGAAATGTCGACACTCTCACTTGTATGATTACTTCCTCATTGCAAGAGAACTATAATGTTCAACCTGTACAAATATGAAAATTTCTTGTAGGAGAACCATGGTACCGAATTATGTTAGATAACGAGGTAAGAATTGGATCTTATGCACTAGAAGAAATTCAAAGGAAAGAAGAGGAAGATTGGACCAGGTTGCATATTGTAAAACTGCTACTGGTAAAATCCAAGCGGGAAGAGCTTGTTAAAGCAAATGCTACTGTCCATATCCATAATGGGATAGTGGTAGTTTTACCAGACAGGTATGCGATAATCCAAGATACACTCTTCAAACATAACCAAGCCAGTTAAGAACGCTACTAGAAGGGTTTGATTTAGCCCATCTATCAAAGCAGGCTTGAATGGAAGGTACTATTGATCTTTTGAGGATGGTCTTAGCCCACGACTAGGAAGCCCAAGAAGATGAGACTCTGAAAGATTTTATTGATCTCATAGAAGTGGATAACTTTAAAGATTGATAAAAATCTAGAGGATGGAGATTTGGACAACCGAAAATGTCCAACACGTAATAGGCTGATGTGTATCAAACAAGCGGAAGATAATGCCTGGACATCCACGATTTTGCCGACAGAATTCAACGATCTAGATTAAAAGAAGGTATTGGATGTTGTGTGTTGTCGTTTGTAATAATTAACTTTTGATATGTAAAACGTGTAATGTAATAATTATATCTTTGTAAGACACGTGAGAGACATGTGGACCCTAGTGTCATTATCTTTGAGATATATGTTATTTTCTTATTAGTTTAATAGTCTTTGTAGGTTTGACAAGTCACCTTTAATTGGTGATTGATTAGACCTTTTGTTTTGTTTTGTTTTACGGATTCAATTCATTTGAAATCTGAACTTCTTTATATAAAGAGAAGCTTATGTACATTAATATTTTCAGTTTGTGAAAAAATTCTTTCTTTCAATCTCTTGTTTTACCTTTGAATTGCATACTCGAAGCAAAGAGAAAGGTTCATTCAAGAGAATTGATGCCCAGGTATGAATTAATCTTTAAAACTGAATCGGTGTTGTTCTTTCCAATTAATCAACTAGGTGTTTAGTTATTAATTGTAATAATCAATTGCCCAAAGAGTAAACGACATATTCCTACCCAAGGTTTGACGAAATCCAAAGTTAGTACTATTGGTTCCATTTATTCCAGATTCCCACCCTTAAAGTAACAGTATTATGAATTTTTAAGGTTTAGAAGGTGAAATTACCATAATGCCCTTAACCCTAAATTAATAAATTATGTTTTAACCCCTAAATTAGTAGAATTACAAAACTTACCATTTTATTTTCAAATTATATCAAAAACACCCTCGGTCATTATACACCCTCGTCAGAAACAGCCCGATCTGGGCTGTTTCTGACGACGTCGAATCCCCTGGTCACCTCCATCACCTTCCCCGTAGTCCGTCGTCCAAAACCCCCCTGGTTCCCAACTCATTTGCCCCTCCAATCGTTGGCACCATTAGGCTTAGGGTTTCCGTGTTCTTCACTGAATTCCGGTCGATTCCGGCGGTGAAAATCTAATTGGACACCACCAATGCAACCACCGTCTCCAAATCTATAAAACCCCTATGTCCCCAGCAGCCGTTTCTTCTGCCGAGAGTTCGTGTTCATCGGCCGTTTTTCGTTGTCGTGGCCGGAGATCGACGAGTGATGAGGGGTTGTGAATAATATAGTTTTGTAGAGGGGATGATGGGGGTTCAAATGGTGGTGACAAGGGTGATTTTGGGTGGAAGAATAGTCGAAAAAGAGCGAAAAATATCAGGAACGACGGCTGCTAATGTGCGCCGGAGGACTATTAGAGGCGGTGGTCTGCTAACGTGCGCCGCTCATGTAAAATGACCAATTTACCCCTTTACCGTTACATCAAACATTTTTCTGTCACTTTAAGGGTGAGAATCTGGAATAAATGAAACCAATGGTACTAACTTGGGATTTCGTCAAACCTTGGGTGGGAATATCTCCTGTACTCTTGCCCAAATTATATTATTGAAATTAGTTGTAAAATAAAACTCTGGTCTGTGCAACACAGGAATATACTGCTAATAAAATAAAATTTGTAGAACTAGAGACATGGATTTCAGTGCAAAATCTTATGTATAAGTACATGATTATTAAATCAAAATTTAATATATTTGGATTGCACAGTTTAAATTGTTAAAAAAAGTTAAGCTCCTGAATCACGATACAAATTTTACAGAATTTGGCTTATAATAATAATAATAAATCCAAATCCACCTCTTATATGAAAAATTATGAAATCCTTGAAATTATATAATTTTTGATAACGACAATCTACATTAAATTATGATTATATCATATTTGAAAATTTTATATATATAATATAATTTTGTTAAACAGATCGTTTTGATAATAATTTTTTTAACCATATTTAAATATTATTAGATTAACTCATTTAATTAATATTATTAAATAATAATTAAGTGCGATCTTATATAATTAATTAGATAATTACTCCGCCTTATGAAATCACATATTTTAAAGTTAAAAAATTTGATTAAACTTTAATTTTTTAAGTTTTAGATAACAATAATTATTATATGTAATAAATTTAGTCACCAATATTCGCACGTGAGACTGATAAATACAGGCTTTTATAATAATTATATCAAAATTTATTATCAAGTATATAAATAATTAAATTTTTGATATAGGCTTTGATATATACAGCTCATTCAACCGAGTTAAATTCTCCACCTATTAAAGCCTAAATTGTATGATAAAATAATAATAACAATTTTTTTTTTTTTTTTTTTTTTTTTTTTACAAATGACAAAATAGAATTTGAACTGAATATGTAGTTGTGTACGTCTTTCGTTTGACCACAGATACAATGGGACTCATCGGAAAAATGAGTGCAGACAACCTTAACTTCTTCAACTCTCAAGGTTACATTTTCCCCTCCTTTTTCTCTTTAATTTCATTTATTCTCTTCTGGGTTGACGAGTTTTTTTGGCTTTCTTGCAGGTTATGTGGTGATAGAATCATTTGCTAGCGATGAAGAAATGGAAGCCATGAGAACCCAAATGGACCATTTGCTTAAAGGCTTTGACTCCTCTTCCTCCTCCATCTTCTCAACCAAGAACCAGGTTCTTACTTTTTGTTTTATCAATAATTCAATTGCTTTTTCTTTTAAATTTATTTTATTTGATTGTGAACTCAAGTTGGATTTTCCTTCTTGGTTGGTTTGTTTGTTTGTTTGTTTTTTTTTTTTGTTTTTGGTGGTTTTTGTAGCAAAAGGTAACTGATGATTACTTCTATGAGAGTGCTGAGAAGATTTCCTTTTTCTTTGAAGGTAATCAGATTTTAAATTATGAGACCCTTTTGTTTTTAGTTTACTTTTCTTTTCTTTTCTTTATATGTTTGTAAGATTTTTACTGTTTTTTCTGTTGTTGGAAGTAATATAAGTGGTTCAGGAATCTTTACCCACCATAGATGATTGAATATTTGCGCTAAAAGTAAATTAAGTACTAATGAACCTTACATTAAGGATCGGGCTATGGTACAACTTTCGTTTTGGTTATGGGAAGGAGGATACTTGTAATGGAAATGTCGCGCTTAATTAGGCTAGGTTTTTCGGTTGAGGCAATGGTAGTTTGTCTTGCTAAAAATTTGCTTCTTGTTTCTGATTGTTGGCAGAGAAAGCTTTCGGGGATGATGGAAACTTAAAGCAACCGAAAGAACTCTCCATTAATAAAGTTGGGCATGGTAAGTTGTCAAGGTGTTGTGTCTTACATTAATCTCATTTTGTTTGGTGGTTATGTTAATGGGGATAAAAGCAGATGGTAGAGAGTGAAGATTTCTTGTCATATTTGAATAAAATTAATATTACTGTTCTTGGGGTAAATTGGTGCAGCATTACATGAGATTGATCCAGTTTTCAAAAAAGTTTCTTCCTCTGAGAAAGTATCAGATCTGCTGCACTCTTTGGGTTACAAAAGGCCTGTGATTATTCAGTCAATGTACATTTTTAAGGTAATCCATTTTCTTAATGAAGATATTGGATTTTTTGTGTGCATATTATGTAAATCTCTTTTGCTGCTGTAGGAATTTAAGGCCTAAGTTATCGAAATTCTCTGCTCTGTTACTTCTGTTCTATTGAACTCTTGTGTTTAATTGCTCAAGGCTTGAGCATACATTATGGTTGTGAAAATTAGATGAAAGAAGTGGAGTCTATCACATCAGCTTAGTTATAATAAGTGGTGCTATTTTTCAAGCTCTCCCAGAGGATTGTATAAGAAACATATAGAATATTATTTCTCATAGATGTAGAAGCAACGGTCAGTAAAATTATTTATACTTAAGTTGTAAAAGTGTGAAAATAATCACAAGGGTAAAATAATAGGGATTCCCCAAGTCTGTAATGAATAATAGGATTAGAGATTTGCATAAATTTTTTAGCACGTATTCTTTATCTAGTTCTTTTATCCAACGTTAGCATAATCAGGTAGAATCTTGTGTTATTAACTTTGCATTCTGTAAGGCAATATTTTGCCCTTGTCAGCTGTGTTTTTGATATTGGATGTGCTGCAGTTTGTGCGGAAACTATTTGGAACTATTTCAGTTCTGCTGCCCCTGCTTGGCAACCAATTTTGGTGCTTCTCTTCGTTCTATAATTGCAATCATATATTGCATTTGTGGAACAGAGCTGGCATGTTTGCTTATAATTTTTATAATATTAAGTATTCAATGATGAAAATTTAAGCCTCATTCATGTTAATTATGGGAATTACTGCAGAGGAATGCTACACTTTTGCAAACAGTACGATGGAGAAATTTTTGCTTCAATGTAGCATGGTCTTTGTTTGTTATGTATCTATTTATTTATATGCAAATTTAGCATTACTAATTACTTATCATCTTGGGCATTTTGAATATCCACGGTTTGTTCAATCAGTTTTCATAATGTTTTTCCCATGTGGTAATATGTGAGAATCTTATTAACAGCAACCAGGTATTGGAGGGGAAGTTGTGCCTCACCAGGATAATTCATTTCTGTATACCGAACCAACAACTTGCACTGGGCTGTGGCTTGCTCTAGAAGATGCAACAATAACAAATGGTTGCCTTTGGGCCATTCCTGGATCTCATAAAAGTAGTTTTCCACCACTTTTTCTTCCTTTTTTTTTTTTTTTTTTGAGAAAAGTAAGTCAAAGCGCTACAAATATATATATTTTTTTTATAATGGTTTAGTGCATTTTGTTGTTTATAGATGGCCTTGTTAGAAGGTTCCTGAGAGGTGAAGAAGGGGTTTACTTTGATCGACCTTCTCCTTCCTATGATGAGAAGGATTTTGTGCCTGTTGAAGTGAAAGCTGGATCTTTAGTTGTCATTCATGGTGACCTTATTCATCAGAGGTGAGTTTGAAAATTTTTCTACAGAGTTCACTAACAAGGTTTTAGATGAATGGCTGCAAAATTCAGTTTTTCCTTTTTCAATTTTACAGTTTTGAAAATCAGTCCTCAAAATCAAGGCATGCTTACAGTTGGCATGTGGTAGATACTGATGGTTGTAAATGGGCTCAAGAGAATTGGTGAGTATATGAGCTGTTTGGCTTTGTCAACCCTATGTTTACTTTGGTAGTGAGAAGTATAAAAAATTATTGGATCAAACTAAAATACATATCCATGAAACCTTTTTTTAAAAAAAAATATTTTGAGCTTAATGATCTGGAGCCTCCATATTTGATATATATTTTGTTTTTATTTTCTTGAAAAAGTAAAATGCTTTATTAGTAATTTTACAGGCTACTATTTTTAATATTTTTTGTAGAAGGTGGCATGTGTATTCTTGTATTAAAATGTATTCCTTAATCTAATCTGTCTGTTTATACAATAATATAACAAATTGTAATTTTCCTTAAATACTAGGATGCAAGTAGAACCTTCAGACATCATGTTGGCCGGTATTAGGTGGAAAAATAATAATGTAGAGAACCTTTTGCCCAAAAGACTAACAAAAAGAGAAACATTTGTTTTCTAAGAACGACCTTCACATAAACGAATGGTGGAAGAAATCAATATTGGAAGCATTCCCTAGATTAGCCCAAAAGTTACCCCCATCATTCTCACCTTTTATTTTTTCTTCTTCCTTAGCATGTGTATGTCAGGCTCTATCACAAGATTGTACATCCCCTGTTTCATTATTGAGCCTTCTGTAGTATTATCTTGATGGTATATAGTCAAGAAATTTTTGCATCTAAACTTGAGTTTTAAAGAATGTTTGAAATTTATTTTCATGTAAAAGCAAAATTTAGCAACGGATTTCAGATTCATTATCATTTGTAATTTAAACAGCTAACATTATGCTCCAATTATTGAAATAAAAGCAGTAATTGACTGATGACAGATGATTCCACAATCCAAATGTTTTCCATTTTTTCTTTTGGATTCCAATGATCTGTTTTTATGCTTTAACACCTCTGATGCGCCAACTACTTGATTCTAAACGCGTGTAAATTTTTTCGTCTGTAATATTCTTTCAGGATCAGAAGAAAAGTGGAACCAGAGCCTCTTTATGTGTCTTGATCTACCCAAGAATCAGTTCTACAAAAGGCTGCTATATGCTTCTCAAGTGAAATTTGTTAATGCTTGGGTGCAGCCTAATAATAGCTGGTATGTGTATCATAGGATTCAAGTTTCTAATGAAATAAAAGAAAGAATGATAAAAATGTTTAATTTATGGTTGTAACATTCTCCTAGTGCATCTTTGTGGCCATTGGTAACACGTTTGTATCTTTTCTCTTTTCTTCAGCAGAAACTTCTTGCATGTACAAGTAATTCTGAGAAACTTTGATGTTCAAATATTTGTCATCAAGTGATGTACATTTCTTATATTATGTTCAAATATCTGGTGACAGAGTAATTGATGCGCATATATTGTGTAGTATGATGTTTGAGGTTGTTTAGTTTTGAGACAACCCCAAGTCAATTTGGATATTGAGAAGCAACATTAATCTCTATCTGTTTCCAAATTAATAGAATCAGCAAAACAGATATCAAACTTCACCTGATAAAAGAAGAAAAAGGAGGCTGCAAGCTAAGTAGTCCTGCAACAACCTGAAGCTTGTCAGGGATTGTCTTGTTTGCCACTTATCATAGTTAAAAGTTCATTTTGGTTTAGAGGCTTGATGGCTTCTAGGCAGCTGAAATCTCACAACAGATTTTGTCATAAGTGCAATATTTTTTTAGTTTTTTTTCTTCAGTTGTTGAATAGCATAATCATTGCCATGCATTCCATTGTTTGTTGCTTGTGAGAATGCTAAACACTGAAGCAACAAGACAAATAGGATTTCAAATGTTCCCCTTGATTGTTGTAGTAGACAATGTGAACTTCTATCCTCTCTGAGTGTTACAGCACGGGAACATTAATGGTGAAGGCCCCTCGAGTTGTAAAAAAGCAGGCCCTATGAAGCATTAGGTGAGAGCTGCTTATGAAACACAACTCTTACTGTTACTGTTACTGGTACTGGTACTGGTACTGTCTATTTCCCAGTAGTCAAAAGCAGATTTGATATGAGAATTGAAACCAACTTTAACTAAGTCATATGTAGTCCCCTAAGTGGGTTTATTGATGGTTGTCTTATTGAGACAGGGCAATACACAAGAGTAGAAAAAATGTAGTGTAAGTGTTGAAAGGACTAAGCCAAAGGGATAGTTGCAGTGCAGCGTCTCCCCTATTTTTTGGCCCGCAGAGGCAATTAATGCTGGCTGTTCTCAAACTGCTAGTTGGATCTTCACTAGATCATGGTCGGTTCCTCGGCAATATAAGCTGATTTTTGCTGCTTGCAACTCTTGGTTTTCACTAGATTACTATTCCTTTCTGCGTATCAGTTTATATACAAAATACCCTTTTAGATAATAATATAGATCTCTCTCTCTCTCTCTCTCTCTCTCTCTCTTTCTTGCCTGCTTTTTTTTGTATGCAACAGAGACAAAGTGATGAAACCCTGCAAAAGTTTCAGTGTGAACTTATTGATTGGCAGCTGTATATCTCTTCTCTCTTTCTCTCTCTCCCTCTTTCTCTGTGTTATGGTTCATGAGTTGCATGCATTAGTACTGCTGGTGGTTGTTTTGTTTTGTTGCTGATGAGTTAATATGAAGGGAAAGTTTTGTACTGAGTGTCTGTACATGCTGGCGGGGTGGTTTACTAGAGGTTAAATGACAAATGTTGTAGTTTTGACTGAAGAGAATGGCTTCTGTTTAGAGGACTTGGTGGATTTTTATCTTTGTTTAGAGTTTGTTAAGGATTCATTTCAATGTACTTAAATCAATCAATCAGTCTAATCTTATCTTTTTATAGGTTTAGTTATTAAGAAAATCTGTAATGATAACCGCAAGATTTTTATTATTGCGATTGAACAAAATGTATCATCGTGATTGAATAAGTGTGTACATTTACTCGTTTGGGGATAGATTTTTCTTTCAAGTATATTTATGATAAATTATTATTATGGGTTTTGAGGCGTGGCTTATGAAGGAGTAATAAAAAAGCTTCAAAATTTGGACGGATTCCTTTTCCTTAAAGTGATGTGATGTGTTCTAATTTGGTGACACATCGCATATTCCCAAATGTGAAGAGGAAAGAAAAGAAAAGAAAGTTCTGTTTTCAGTAACCTGAAATCTTAAACACTGTTAGGGTTTTGAAATTTCATAATATCACCCCGAAAAAGAAGACTTAGAAACTTTTTACAGCTTGCAATTACTATTATATTCCTTGAAATGCTAAAAATATATGAATAGCAATATGTGAAAATAGAGACAATCTATATTTTCATTAAATTAATTATCATAGGGATAAAATGAAGGGTATATATATATATATATTTTTTTTTTTCTTTTTTTCTTATAAATTTATAGTTGAATATTACATTATGGTAACGAATGAAACTTGTGACAAAAGTATATAAGTGGTGGTGATTTATCACTCTTTAACATTGAGTAATGTTGGGTGTTTAACTTTACTGCGAAGTAATAATAGCCTTATATCAATAGATGTTGGAATTAATTGAAGTACGTGTAAGCTTATGTGAATACTTTGATTACCAAAAAAAGAATTATAATATAATGAATAGAGTAAATGACTTTGTCCCACCCAAATACTAGTTTAATGACATTTTTCCATCAATAGACTTTTAAAATATCACTTTATTACCTAAATTTATATTCTGTTTCCGATTCCAATATCATTCTCTTCCCCGATCATCCCTCATCAAAACCTTTCAAACCATACTCCCGTTGACCCCACCAATAACCGACAAAAGCAATTAGGGTATGTGCAGCCTTCCAAGTCAAATTTTGATCAATTCCAACCACCAAAATCGACATTCCACCACCAAAAGACTCATCGGCCTCCCCTCTTCAAAATAGAGATGACAATCGACCCGATATTTTCGGGTAGTTGGCTCGGCCCGTCCTGTCATGAAAAGGTCGGGCTTTACCCAATGTTTGCGGGCTTGGGCCTGATTTTAAGGCTTGACCTTGAGTACTGGCCGGGCTTGGGTATGTCTTCAGGCTTGGCCCAACAATTTTAGTATTAATTATACTAAATTATCCTTATACTATATATTTAATTACAAGATTATCCTACATATATATACTCATTTTTCTCAAACCCTATCTGGATGGATGGATGCACTTTGTGGAAAGTTATTTATATATTTGGTGAGTATTCAAAAATAAATGAATATTTAAAAATTGTTTCTAGAATTAAAAATATAAAAAAATTGAAATTTTTTAATATTAAAAAATTCACATTATAAAAATGGGCGGGCTTGAGGTTACAAAAAGCCCGTCGGGCTGAGGTTGGACTTTACCTGTCATACCTATGATGGGTTCGGACTGGGCTTGGGCCTTTTTCAGGAGGTCAGGCTTGGGCTTGGGCGAAGGGGTATCCGGTCCCGGCCTGACCCATTGTCATCACTCTTCGAAAGCCCCAACAGCTTAGACCGAGTTTGTTCTTTATTCACCGTTAGAATATAAATTTGAGTAGTAAAATGATATTTTAAAAGTATGTGGACGGGAAAGTGTCATTAAACCGGGTGAGAAAAAGTCATTAACTCATTTGAATGCTAAAGACATTTATCACTCTTTGATAGTTGGATAATGGAACATGGATCATGCACTCTTGTTTATTCAATATAATCGATAACTTAAGAGAATTATTATGTGATTTTTATGTTTTATCCTAACCCACAAAATTAAAATTACATATTTTCAACCAGTCTTGGGTGTGACGTTCGGATATTTTTAAAATGCATATCTCGTTAGATTGCTGTAGTTCGGTTAACACTAAAAAAACAGAAAATCTTTTAACTTATTTGTACAGAAAATTATAAAATTTGGTATTTTAATATTTGTTACTGTTAATCAACAACTATTCATATTTTACGGATAATTCGCACCTAAGAATTTCCATACATATATGTTTACGTTTGTTGTTTAGAAAGTTATTTAGATATATAAATATCTAAATGCAAGTCTTAGTATTACTTATATATAAATGCAAGTATATATACATAATTCTCTGCACATGTAAACCTATTTATATGCATATGAAGAAGCTTATAATATATTAAATGATGATTCCAAATTGTAGGTGAGTTCAACATCCAACTCTCCATCACCATCATTATCTCTATATATGATTACCCAAATAAGGTCAAGAAAATGGACAAACCTGTCAAACCAGAATTGCTGCACGATATTCTTCAGAGAAATAAGCCATTAATTTATCAGATCATAAATAAATAAATAAAAGCACTTTCTAGGTTTGTAAACCAACATGGTCCAAATAATGCATTTTTAGGCAAAACACTTCCCCTAACATCTCCCATCTCTTTAATTTTCCCCTACTGTTAGCTCCATGCACATGAATCCCACCTGCAAAAACCAGTCCCCAATTTCCAACAAAATGACAAACTCCATCTTCAGTTCCTCAATGGCAGAAACTCAATGTACTGCCTTGGACTGAAACTACTGCTATTGTTATTTATTGCTGCTGTGATATTCAGTTTCATGTTGTTGTCATTGTCGTCTTTCTTGCTTGCTTCATATTCTTCACTGTGAAGCGGAAAGAGCTCAAGAGTTCGAGTTGTTGTTGTCGTCGTTGCACTTGTTGTAGTTTCTTGAACTCCATCATTTTGATTATTCTGCGCAATGTTGAAACTTTGTGGGAAGCGATGATGATGATGATGGTGATGATTTGATGATGAAGTTGGGGACCTGAAGTGTGGAATATTGAGTTTGAAATTGAAATTGAAATTTCTCTGGAGTTGTAATTCCTTATCATGTGGCTTCCCATGTGGTCCAGTTTCTGCCATTGATGATACAACTGATGTATGCGTTGCAACAAATTCCTGAAGAATAATAATAGTAATAGAAAACAAAAAGCTAAGCTAAGAAAAGTAATTTCACTTTAATGATCAATCTACACTACACTACACATTTCTTTAAATTCTTTCATCACAAAAGCCCCAACAGAAAGTAAAATTTGCAGCTTTTGAATCACTTCTTTTTCCAACATAAAATAACAAAACTTTAGAGCTTGCCTCCTCTCAAACTCTCTCTTTTAATTAAATTTTCTCGTTCTTTTTAATCTTGTTTATATTATGATGGGGTTAGTGATTTTTGCTTTTGGGTGTGACCTCATCTAATTTTTTTTCCTAATAATTGGAATCATGAGTATAGACAAAGTTTATAATATTTTCGGAAGTGTGTACAAACCTCTGAATGTTTACTCCAGTTTGAAGAAGATGATGCCCAATTTTTTGTCTGTTCAACATCATAAATTGTACCTTTTTTCATCCCTATTCATAACCAAACAAAATTTACAGCTTTCTTGTCAAAGATTCCTCCGAAACATCAATCAATGAGGGAACAAGTTTGCATTAAAAATCTCATCTTTTATTAAACATGTCATCTTTTTATGAATTTGGTACCTGAATCTTTCTTCTCGAGATCGGTAGTCTCACGGTGGTGTTGGTGATGTTTTTCTTCAGGAGGATGGTGATGAGTTGTGGTTGTTTCGAGCAACTCACGGCGGCGTTTCTGACGTTCTCTTGCTTTGTGGTTCTGAAACCAGTAGAAAACGTTCTTGCCTTCGATCTTACCGAACCTCCGGAGCTGAGCGGCGATGAGTTGGATTTGTTCAGCGCTGGGCGTTCGCATTCCACGTCGATACATTTCTTCCAGAGCAAGAAGCTGCTCCGGCGTCGGGTTCCACCGTGAACTCCCCAATGGTTGCTCCATAAATTCAGTCCTACTTTGCTCATTTGAAGCAACAGCTAGGGCAAAAAAAAAACAAATCCAAAAGATCAAAAACTATAGTAAAAAAAATGAGTGAAACGGAAGAGAAAGAGACATACCCAGATGGTGATTGAAGGGCGGGAGATGGGTTGAAGAATGAATGAAGCTATAGAAAGGTGAAGGAGCTGAAGAAGAAGAAGAAGAAGAAGAAGGAGAAATGGAAAGAGGGTTTTGAGGAAGAGAAGTAGCAGTGTTAGGGTTTGGATTAATCATCATTGTAGTATTAAAAGAATCGTCATTTTCAGTAATGCCGAGGTGAAGTTGATGATGAAGATCGTTTGCATTACGAGAACAGCCCATTCTGAGCTAGGAAACAAAGACTGAAGAGAGAAGAAATGGCTGAATGATTAAAGAGAAATGGACTTAAATAGTAACAGTAGTAATAGTTTCGAAAAAAAAGAAAAGCGAAGAAGAGAAAATAAAGAGAAGGTATTATTGCAGAGAGAAGTTGACCACGCTGTTATATGAATGAGAATCAAAATTCTTAGAGAAAAGGAGAGAAAGACAAAGCGAGAAAAAGGCAAAAGGAGCTACAGCAAGCGTGGATTTCTGGGAGAAGATATATATATATATGAGATGAGAGGCGTGGTATGAAAACATATTTGTTGCCAAAAAGTGTTTTTGTTTTTCATGAAACAATTCCAACACATCTTTTTGGCTTCAACTCCTTTGTCTTGTAACTTTAATCACTCTTCATACTATATGGGAAATAATTTAATTATTGCTGTTATTGCTCTTTTTCAAGCTTCTGAATCAAATATCACATCTGGACTAATAGTACATCTTTTGTAATATCATCAAACTGATATTATAATAGTGTCTCTTTCATTTGTTTTTGGAGTAAACGACTTTTTCCCACCTAAGGTTTGCCTTAATCACTTTTTCCCACTTAAAAAGTTTTAAAATATTACTTTTTTACCCAAAATTAATATTCTGCTACAACCCAAAGCTAATTTTGGTGGCAAAAATTCTCTCTGTCACCATCACCTTCAGTTTCCTCTCTATAAAATTCTTCTCACTCCGACATCTGATTTCTCACTGATAATTGGCCACCGCAAAACTAAGGTTTTTTGTTCTTAGCCGATTTTCAATTGATTCTGATAGTGAGTATTCAATTGGTCACTACCATTCTATCCACCGGCCTCAACTTTATAAAATCCCTTTTAACCTGACTCTTAATAACTCACCAAACACCAACTTAGAAAGTGAAGTGTATTTTGAATATTAACGGAATATAAATTTTGGGTGGAAAAATGGTAATTTGAAACTTTTTTAGGTGAGAAAGTGTCACGAACGCAAACCTTGGGTGGGAAAAAGTGGTTTACTCTTGTTTTTATCTATGTTTAATACTTAGATCAATTTTTATTATTACTTTAATGAACAAGATTTTTTCTACCCGATTGATCAATAATTGAGTGGAGTATTTTCCGATTTAATACTATAAGCTCTCGGGTGTAGTAGTTATACGTACACTGGGAGATGCATTTATTATTGTTCAACTACATTGTCTTGTGTCTTTCACCTCATCTTCTCAGAAGAACAACAACAACATTTATTCATTAGTCAATGAATCCAAACATATAGTACCATTGTACAAACTAGAACGTACAAAACCAATTATTAAATAAGCACCACTCCATCTACAAATTTAGTGAGACCTTATTTATTACCAGTAGTACTATCAGTAACTCAACTCAAGATTTAGCTTCACCTTCAGTGAGGATTGTTTGGCGAGAGAGAATGCTACACTTCACCGTTGAACACGCTGCATGCTTGCTTCATATTTTCAATGTTTGATGTTAATTCTTCATCTTAGTTACAAAACAAGAAAACTGGGTTTCCCCCCAACGCAATTGCAGCGTCGAAGAAACCACCCCTTGTGGCTTGATGTGATGGAGTGAAGGATGGATTGAAGAGTTAAAAGACCAAGGGGTCTTGGGGTGAAGCTGTAATAACGGCAAGGGGTGGCCATCAATTACCATACCTAAAAAAAAAAAAAAAAAAAAAAATTGTCCGCGTCGTAGAGAACAAAACTGTCCCAAAACTTTACTACTAACACAAAAAATCTTATTGTAACAACTCTGTTCGAACTACTGGATCATAGTTTAGTTAATCTCTAGAGTGTAACGAGATCAAGTTACTTCAGTATTGTATTAAAATACTTTATTATGAATTGCAGTTATATATGATTAGGGTTCAGTTTGATATTTGTATTGATCAAGATACATTGTTGTAACTTTCAAAAGTAGGGTAGAAATGTAGAGTCAATTCTAAATAGGATTGGTCTTGTTATAGGACATCATAATTCATTATGAACTGAACAATTGAAGAATACATGAATTCAAAGAGCACCTGTGTCTGTCTCTATCAACTATCACAGAAGTCATTATTGTCTTACAGTTTTGAATAGATTGTACTTGCTCAATTAAATGAATGCGAGGTCTTTTTCTGCAGAAACTATTTATGATACAAAGAAGATAAATACTCACCAAACCTTCTCATTTTTCTGAGGTCATCTCAGGGTACTGCTTTGCGGTGTATGTATCGTTGCCTCATAAATCTCTCGTGTAAGTAATTATTATTTATGGGAATATATTGTCACCCCTTTATTCTTCAGAGAAGTATTGCTTCTCTTTTTATTGTTCATTAACTTAAAATTCTGTTGTCTACAGAAACTACCAAGTTCTTGGTTTATGCTGGTGAACATATAATAGCTACGTAAGTTCTACACTGAAAAGAGAATAACATCCCCGAAAGCTGAACAATGGTTGAAATGTTCAACGGTACGTCGAAGGCTGCACGATAACAGCTCCTGCTCCTTTCTACTTTAAGCGATTCCAGTAGCATGCGAGGAAACCACAGCCATGTTGGTCTTTACACATAAGCTGCAGCTCTAATTTCTCCGCCAAAAAAAAATGAATAATGAGGGATTGATGCGAGATATATACATTACTCCAGAAGCTTGTTACAAGTTCCTACACCAACAGCTGCAGCAAGATGCCAAGCAGCATGAAGGAAGGGAGTCTGAGGAAAGACATCATCTGCAATGAAAAAAACACCACCCAGCAATGATGATAGCTTATGCACGTTGTGCGTCATCCTCAAGTTTGGATCTTTCAATGCTCTTTTTGCAAATGCAACCTGAATTCAATAAGTAACAAAAAAGTTATCACAGTGAAATAACAGCTTGAGCTCATCAAGTCACTCAACTATGCTTTATGCGAGTCTCCATCAGAAGTTCAGAAAGGAAGTTTTCGTAAGAGATGCTAGATTTCAGTCAGCATGACATGGCATGTGAAACAAATTGCATGAACTGAAAAACCATGTCAAACAGGTCAGAAGTTCAAAAGTTTTCTGTTTCCAAGCTTTCATCCGTAGGTCTCGTATAATTGCAGCAGGTTACTACCTCTTTAAAGTAACTATTTGTCCTGTTTTATTAATAATCATGTTGTGAGTTACTTCATTAGTCGGTACAGTACGAGTTGTCGAAGAGTCTTAAATTGAAATTCAGCTATTCGTTTTTGCAAAAGTTATAGCTAGCCTATAACAGATAGTGGCCAACAATAATACAGCCAAAATGGATCAAGTGATACAAAGATTGTACAGCTTGAAAACTAAAGCTCTACTAGAATGAAGTTCTAGAGTAGTTGATATTCCCAACAAAACCCAGATTGCTGAAATTTTAAAAGCATAAGGAATATAATTAATTTTGTATATCCCTTGTAAGATTGATTAATTTAGAGCGCACCCACAAAAATAGTTTTTGAAAACCATGGGTGTGCTTTTAAATTAAGTACTGGCACATGAAAGACTATGAAGTTAATCCAAGGAATATCTTAAAAGACAGAATATCTCAAACGGGTGGATAAGACTTTGAAGTTCATATAATTCACGAATCCTTATCATGTAGCAGTAAGGATTTTAAAGATTAGCAGTTTTTATGAAGCTTTATGAATTAAGCCACACAGACCAAGGGAAGATCACATAAGTTCTCATACTTCTATATATGTTAATGAATATGCAAAAGATAATTAGGATAGAACTAGTGAAACCACTAAATGAAGAGAGATCCCACCTCCATGTACTGGGTTTTGTAATTCAAACATGAAGATTTTTCACACACCCAAAAAAAAAAAAGAAAAAAAAAAAAGAAATAAGGTTGATTGTAGAAAAAGCCATAAAAAGTGGAGTTAAAAACAGCTACTTACCTCCATCATTCCAGTGTGGACGGCTGAAACCATCAGAGGTTGGATAGGTAGTAACAATGCAGATGCTGCCATAAGCATCTTTGGGTTTTCATCTCTGAGGGCCCTTGAGAGACACTGCAACAAACGTTCTTCAATTATAAGTTAATGTGTTTGAGAGAGAAATAACAAGACTCGAAAAAAACAAAAGCAGGTGGACTAATCTTATACTGTGGAAGTTTTACAGCAAGATTAACTTAGGTTCACCAATTTCTCATCATTTTGCCGCTAACTTGGCTAGTAATATTCAGAAACCTAAAAGCGTAGGAAAACTAGAAGACAGAGAATCAACAATGAGATGTCTTATAACTAAATAGTTCTTCGTTCAAGGTAAGGTATTTAAATCCTGCAGCTAAATGCTCTGCTTGGATTGGCTCAGGCTACAAAACATCATGAGAAACATCAGATTACTACCATCATTATGAAAACTCTTGCTCAATCAATTAAGGTCATCTTAACAGAGGAACTGAGAGTTAGCTAACTACTAGCTAGGTCCTCCAGACGGATGAACATATTAGGGAGAATTTTGATCATATAACTAAAACATGAAGCAAAGAGTGAAGTAATTCTGAAATTCCAGGCGATGGAAGTTTAACTACTAAAATGAACAAAATAATTCAAAAGTAGCTACTTTTCAAGGTACTGAATGCTGAGAAGTCAAAAAATCAAGGCAAAAAAACAGGTTTAGTGAAGATACAGAGTATTTTAATGGCAAAATAAGAAAAAAAAAAAAAAAAAAAGGATAATAAGCTAAAGCACTCATTAGTCTTGCCAGGGGGGAAAATGCAAAGAGATGAGAAGAAACATCAAAGAAACTCCATTAACGGTAATAGAGAGACGCAGGGATATAGATGGTACAACTAATATGAATCAGTTTTGACTTACCACTGTTGCTGTGGCAATCATTGTATAGTCAGCCCATCTCAAATACCTCCTCAGTCTTCCCCTTGAGGAGTGATACATACTTGAAGCTAACCCAACTCCAATTAATGAATTTGCGTACATTTTAGTATTCAGATTCTTCCTTTATCAAGAGTAAAGTAAGAGATCAGTACAAACAGAAATATAAGATTGGGATTGCACTTAACAAGAAAATTACAGTGGAGTACCACCTTGGGGCCTGAATTCCAAGAGCAATAAATGGTAGTGATGTTAGTACATTGGCAAATCTTTCTAAAAGATTCTGATCACCTGAAAAGAGAAAAAAATGGTTGAAACATACAGAGATTTTGAACTAGAGATTGGAATGCATACCACGAAAATAGGAGAAAATGTTGTATTGTATAATACCTTGAATACAACAGTGAACAGGCCTCAAACATGCTGGTCTTTGCTGCCATACTCGTCTGGAGAACATGTAAGAAGTAAGTAAATGTGGATGCCATCACACAAATTTTGCAATCATGTGATTATTTATACGTATTGGTCTTTGTTGCCATGCTTGTCTGGGGAACATGTAAGAAGCAATACTTAAAACATACATATTCGTGGACAAGTTTCTTTTCACTTACTGCATTAACAGAAGTTGGCTCGCTCCTAAGGTGGAACTTTCACAAGTAGAATCGAACTCCCCATTTTGATCAATCTCGTGATGTGCAAAAGGTGAATGAGGTACCACGTGCACCCCATGCAGACCCTCTAGGGCTTTACTGTTGTTGGATGCACTCTGTGGCCACATAAGCAATTTAGCTACAAGTCAAATGCTTTTTACTGCCAGCAACACCTTGCTGGCGTTGGTCGAAAGTAGTCTGCCAGAAGCAATTAGTGTTCTGCTCAATTCTACATCACCACCAAACAAAGCATAAAATATTATCCACATTAGAATGGTTAAACCAAATCTGATTGAAATTCGCTAAAAAGGTTGCCGCTTAGAGAAGTGCATCGTGAGAAAGTTTCTGAATCCAAACATCTCATAACTTCATCTTGATCTAACATTTTAAAATAATTTTATTCTGAAAATCAAATAGGTCAACAAATGCAGTATATGTTAACAACATCTTCACAAATTTAAATCCCCATTTGCATACAATCAAAGGCATATACTTCCCACTAGCTTGTGGTACCAGCACATGAGCTCGACCTAGAAAATATTAAATTAATTTAACAATCAAGCTCGAACTCTATATATACAACATGGGAGTTATGGCGAATTTGATAGGCAAGTAGCCAAGTACAGTGGTTAAAAGAAGGAGATTCATTCGCCCATCCTTAGGTTTGAATGGGCAAAATGACAAAATCCATAAAAACTATTCGAGAAGCTTTACATGAGCTCCTAACAAAGGGGAAAGTTGTGAACATCAACCGAGTTGCCCCGAAAAAAATGTCAGTTATTTTGCAGCTAAAGCCTTCTAGGATTTGCACTAAAGATATGAGATTATGTTACAGAGGAAAACAATCTATCTTTTTCTCAAACCTTGGCAGAAAAATTAGAGCTTAAGAAACAAAATGGCCTTATTCTGTCTTGCTCTTAGGTTTACTTTAACAAATAAAACAAAAGTGAATCAACGACGAGATAATAGCTAGGTGCATCAAAGAATTTAGATAATCCAAGTGTCTGATTAAACATTGGTTTTGGATAAGCACTTTGGACAAAAGAGCAGCAGAGCCTCAAAGAGACTTCAACCCAAAAACAAATGTCTTTGATTAATTACTTAACAGACCAGAAAAATTTCAAGACGCTTCAAGCAAACCCATTTCATTTCTTTGGTCAGCTTCTCAGAAACATTCACAAAAACAAGAACTGGTTCAGATTATAAAGCAGAAATTTCAGATTTCTCCCCCAAATATTCAAGTGAAATTCACCAGAACAACATTAAATCTCAACTGGGCTCTTTAGAAACAAACCAAAAAGGCAAAAAAACAAATAAGAAATTAACACATGCATGCCACTGAAGAACGAAAGAAAGAGAGGGAAAGTACCTGAATGAGCTGAACTTGAAGTTGATAAATCATAAAATAATAGGAGGAGAAATTACAAGGAAGAAGGTGGTTGAGTTTCGGTTATAAGACAATAAAATAGAGAGAGAATAAGAAACAAAGATGCGCATGTGTCACGAATCTTCTCCATTCACTGTGCGCATATTCTTTTTATCAAATCAAAATTCGCCATTAAGACTATTTGTGTTCACCCAAATGTTGACTATTTTACCACTCTTGTCTGAACTTTGACTTTTCAAAACCTTTATTAGATTGCTATAGATGATCGCACTAATCATAAGTTAGGATTTTATTAGGAGGATTTTAATTTATTTATCCATATTTTTAAACCACGTAATTTTATCTTATCTTTATTCTTGGAATTTAACACTTAATTATATCAATTATTTATACATCAGCATTTACATTAACTATAAAAAAATATTAATCTTTTTTATTATATGATTAATACGATGTTGAAACATAAAATAATGTTATTTCTTAATATGTAAAATTGAATCAATCATTAGGTTGTTCTAAATTATTGATTTAATCTTACATATAATGAAGTAACGGCACTCATAATACTATAACTATTTTAGGCTTAATAAAACATTTATATTCAAGATGATATATACAATGATGATATTATTGTTATTATTATTATTATTATTATATTTTTTAGGATGTTAATTTTATGATTGTAATGTATTAAATTAGAAAGTTAGAAAGCAAAAATAGTATATTATTTACTAAAATTAACTATTTTTACAAAAAAAATTTAAAAGTAATATTACATTCTATATAGAATTATTACATCGTTCTCTGAATCATTATTTCAATTATAAAAGGTCACATTACTAGGACCAAAATTTCATTACTAGGACCAAAATTTTAGAATATGCCTTAGAATATGACTTTTTCTTCTTGTTTTTTAGTTTGTTTACAACTGGAAAGTAGTAATTTAAATTGGGCCGCACAAGATGTGGAGTTAGTTTTATGACCCAGAAATTTTCAGCCCAATAATGCTATGTTATATGGGCTTAATCTGGATCCAAAAAGCTAAAGAAAATGGTACTGACGTGTGACTTCCAACTGAATAAATCCTTCGAGTCTAGAAAGAAAGTTTAATTAGATTACTTCATAATTTTGACAGCATATATAGAAAGGTAATCCAATCGCAAAATGCAGAAAATGCAAACTTATATTATAAACTCTGTTAGAACTAGTTACAATATGGAATCCACTGTACTGTTAACTTCACAAAGATTATCTGGATTAAGCTAGTAAAAGAAGAGATGGCGAGGATGAGAGAAAATGCTGGATAATCTTATTTTATGAGTAATGTTACGGACACCGAAATTTTACACCGAATTTTTATACCGAAGAACATGGCAACCAGTCAGATGTGATCACGCTAGAGTCTTTCGTGAATGAACTGTCGTTCAACATTTATGGACGCTCGTCCATATTTAATGGACTTCCATTCATATTATATAGACGGGCGTCTGTCTAAAAAATTTTAAAAGAAAAATAATGAATGCCCGTCCAAAAAATTTTAAAAAATTTTATTTTTTTAAAAACAAAAGCAGTGGATGGGCGTCCCTCTTAGATGGACGCCTGTCCATTAGATAGGGAAATGTTGACCGGCCAACTTGAAATGTTGATGTGGCTTGTGGGATATGAAGCTTATCCATTAGTTGTGAAGACTGAAGAAGGGTCTAATGTTACTATTGATGTCGTCAGAGTTGTGAAGAAGAAGAAGATTACTTTTCTCCTTCTCGCGTCTTCTCATTTCAAGAAACAAAGTCAGCTCCTCGTCTCTTTCTTTCATCACCATCTCACTTGTTTCCTTCTATTTTCTTCTTCTAAACTCCAATTTCTATTTACTTTCATCACCTCTGTTCGTTGATCTGGTTCTTCGATGGTGGTGGTGGTCGTAGCAGTGATTATTGCATCAGAAATAATATTCTGCCATGGAAAAAAAAGTGAAGAACCAGGTGCCATGAAAATAAAGTAAAGAAACAGGTGATTAAATAGGAAAATGGATGGGCGTCCATCTAAGAGGACGCCTGTCCATAAATTTTTTTTTTTTTTTTTATTTAAGTAATGGATGGGCGTCCATCTAATAAGGGCACCCATCCATAATATATGGACGAGCGTCCATGATTTTTGTTTTCAAATTTTTTTCGTTTAAATTATGGACGGGCGTCCATTATAGGTAGACAGTCGTCCATATAATATGGATGAGAGTCCATTTAAAATGAGCGACTGTCCAATAATAATGGATGACCGTTCATTCGCGGAATATTTGTTAACGTGATACGTGACTCGTGTGATTCAGTAGACACATCATTTAGTGTAAAAATTCGGTACAAAACATCAGTGTCCGTAGCATTTTTCCTTATTTTATACCATCATTATAAAATAAATGACTGATTGTATCAGAGAAAAGAGGGAATTGAAGCAGGGCAAACAGGGTGGCAGTAATACAAGCTACTAAAGCAAATGGAATAGCTACTGATGAAGAGTCATCACCAAGAACAATGAAAAGAGTGGCTCCAAATGCTGCCATCATGGCAGCAATAGAGATAAAAAAGGCTGCGAGCCCTATTATCAATCTGTTTGGTAATGAGTGTAGGAAACCTTCTTCTGCATAGCGCGAAGTGAGAATGGACAAGATCATTAATATTGCAGTGGCAGAGCAGAATAGTGCCAATGCCTCTGATACTGCAACAACAAGAAATGATACTTGATGTAGAAAAATAGGCTTACCTGTAGGATTGTTATTGTCACTAGACACGGTGAAGGCCGCAGCTAACATCACAGTGGCAATAAGCATTGTAACAAGCATACATGAAGATGCAATGTCTTTCATCCACTTTTCTCCCTCTCACAAAAGTTTCTCACGCTTCTCTGAAAACAAGATATGAGGTGTTTTCCTGGCTGAATTTTTGGACTCTCTATAAGATGGTTGGACAACCTTTTCAACTTCCTGTAACTCAAAGTAAATTATACTAAGATTCAAACCTGGAAACTAATGGTAATAACAATAATAAACCTGGTGGAGTAGAATCAAAATCAACAAAGTGCAAGCTTAGTAGCTGAGCATATATTAACCTTGAACCAATGCAACTCTCATCGAAGTTGCAAAACTGCACTAGAATCTATTTTGAGTCGATCAGGAGGTGCTAGCTTTCCAGCTAGATGCAACATGTTATTCTTGTTGTCATCTTTATACGTTACTATTAGATATTTATGAGCACCGATGACATGTATGAGAGTAAAAGTACTTTCTTGTCTATGAACCACCGCAGTATGAAATATGCTTTGATTGGGATAATCAACCTTCCAAATAAGGTCAGGACACATTCTAATCAGCACAGTTATGAACTCAACATTCCCCATTTCCACAGTAGTAAACAACAAACGAGAAAGTTTCCTAATTAGTTCTCCAATTTTTGAGTTATTTAGAAATGACACCAGTTTCCAAAGTCGTTTCACCAATTCATAGGCTTAGAGATGTGTTGGCTTTCTGTTAAGGACTGCTCTTATACTTGGCACTGACGCGACAAAGAACCATCACTTGGAGGTGTTTTTCTCAAAATTCATATAATCTAGTGTATAATAATCATGTAAAGAACAATATGCTACTATAAGAAGAATGTTAAAACCATAAGAATGGCCAGTAATGGAGTTACTAACATGAGTAAATGCACCTCTGCCAAATTCCAAGTTGACTCCCACTTACAAATGCCAAAG